TATATATTACAAGAAGAAAGGGAGAAGGGAGGTGGCAACATATCCAAGAATGCATCCAAAACTATCCAAAACAAAGGAGATGACTGAATGGGCTTAGCTCGTTGATTCTCGCTATTCTTTGCATTTCTTGATTCGGTAAACTTTAGTATTTTGGTCAACTCGGACTGGTAGATAGAAACAAATCCAGCTTACGATTCACGTTTGAAATCTACCGACTCTAGTAATAGCGACAAGTGCGATAGTCAAACGGAAGTCAATTTTGTTGCAAAGTGTAAGGAAAGATAAAAGTTGATTTAGGACTCTGTTTATGAAATGACTCATTTATTTTGTATTTTTCCATCCACTCTTAACAAAGTCTCAGTGTTATTTGATTCCAATTCTTAAGTATAAAAAAATTAAAATCATTGGTTTCGAAACCGATAATTCTAATTCTGATTCGAACCGATGATCTCATAAATTTAAGCTATTTTTTAGTATTTAAAAAGAAATTTATAATTTTTTATATTTTTAAAATTTTAATTAAAAATAATAAAAAAGTTAATTTTAAAAAATTGTAGCTGTCAATTTCGAAATTAAAATCATCAATTTTGAAATCATGATCAAATCTACTTTTGACTTCGACTTCGACGCATGGGGTATATCTTTCATACATCACGAGGGTTCCATGATGACATATTTTTATGGCACATCAACATCAAACTAAGATATAATTGAAATTTCATCTCAGTGGTTCACCGATGACCGACAGCATAAAGCATTTAGCCTTCAAGATTTAGGAGATCAAGATCATTATCATGGAGAGTCATTGCTGATGATAGATTATGAACCTTTTGGATTTAAGAGATCGAGAATTAAGTTGTGAAAATTAGGGTGAGATCAAGAATCTAATCTCCCACTTTTTAGGTTGACATTTTTAGTCATCTCTTATCCTACCTTTTTACGTTGACCTCAAAGGGACAAAATAAGTTTATCCAAATCTAATAATTTCCCTTATGCTTGAATTGTATAAGATGAACACTCACTTAGGGTTCGTTCTCTCGATCCTTCACCATGAAAAATGCTCGTACAACGTTGTACGTTACTGCCTTCGCTGTGTGGACCAAATCTAAGCAAAATCCACAGGTCGTGACATGACTCCAATGGCAAAATCCACAGGTCGGCAACAACCAAATCTATGGCTCAACAAACGTCTGCCACAACCTTAATGCTGAATTCATGTCACACGAACACGGCTCAACTTAAGGCGATGTTCGCAGTCATTATCGACCATCGTCCCAATCCCAATCCCCGTCCTTCGATGCTGAATTCATTGCCCCTCTTTACCTTTGTTGTTAATTAGGTCACATGGCACGCAGACAGAGACCGGCTTAAAACTGCTCGACGGCAGCAACATGTTTTCTGGGATTCCTCTTCAGAGAGCTTCGACAAAGTTACGTCTGCAGAGCATCCCATCTGCCTTTAGGGTGCAAGTGAGGTGAGATCCACGTCGTCCTTCGTCGGTGGTGCTCGGCTCATGTGGCCGTGCTGTCCTTGGAACGTTCAGACGCTGCAGTCTTGGACCTTTCCGTGGCCTCTAATGCCTTGTCTTCTTCCCAAGAATCCGACGTGCTTTCCTCCCTTCGCTGCTGCTTTTGAGATCATATGTCACTGTTAGGTATGTGAGTGGGGATGGATGCGGTGGAAGCCCACTTGGCTTATTAGCTTTTCAGATGGCCGGATTCATCATGCACCGGTTGAGGCGATGGTGCCCCACTAGACTAGCGTTCAAGTAGGAGATAGGTAAAGTCACCGAGTCATCTTCCTCGGCCATATTGCTCTGCGCGTGCTCTCATCCACCACGATGCCGCTGCTTGAACGCACGAAAGGAATCGAGTACGTGAAAGAACAACGAGAGGCAAGCCAACTTCTTTGTTACGTCTAAGTTCATCGTGAATCCGAAATAATATGATCCGATGTGGTCTGAATTCATATGCGTAAAAAATTCTAATTAAAATTAGGGTCTCGAATATTTGATTATCGATCTACGTAAAGATTTAGAAATAAAAAAATAAAAAATTTGAATAAGCAATAATCGAAAGTCGAGTTAAGAGGGTCTCGATTATTTGATCACCGATTTGTTTAAAGACCTAAAATAAAAAATAAAAATTTTGAATAAACAATAACGGATCATAGTTACTATAGTATACTAATTTTTTATAATGGAGTATTCATTTGATACTTCATATTTGGTTCATGTCATTTTCTAATCGAAGCCATATTCTTTTTATATTGATTGTTGCCACTTGTCGAACTATGTTTGGGTGAATATTTTAACTTTGAATATTGATGAGTGAGAACTAAAATCTATAGCACGAATCATGTCTCACACTTCCTCGTCGAAGTGAAGATCATCATCAAGTATATTTTTGTTGTGGTTCCTTAGACACTATAGTTTGAGGCCCTAATCATTTTGATTAAGAAAATATTCTTCAAATTATTTCTAATCTCGATAATATTTTATTATCATGATTTATAATCACACAGATAGATTCGAACAAATACGACGATGAATATTACTCGTATCGCTCACCAAAAGGAGCCCTTCAACTAAATTATACTACGAGAAATCAGTCTTCAACAACTAAACTTTGGATTTATCTAACAACACATCTTTTCCAAATCATTCCAATCCTCTCCGTTCATGTCTCTATCGACCATATTGACTAAATTAAGCCTGATTGCGGAATATAGAACCAATAAGTCTCGAGTCACGAGTCAAATTTGGAAGATGTGCTTCTCAATTAGACGAAGCTTCATATCAAATCGTACGGAAAAAGTTGAAAGTTGGCATTTCTTTGTAGCAAGAGAAACGTGCTTTTCTATCTCTAGTGAACTTGTATTTGATCGACTCCATGATAATGACATGGAAGCACCCAAGTAAAGGAGCTTTGGATGGAATTAAGATCGGTTGGCCATTAAGAAGGCCTGCAAGATCTGTAAATATATGGAATGATGAACATGATTCGGCCACTAAGGTCGCATGGCCAACGTTCTTCACTTGTGATGCATGCTATAACCTATGAAAATGATGGTATGTATCATCACAGTTCAACTTTTGGTGGATGAGGTATTGTATATGTTATCTAGTTTTGGATAGAGATGGATTCTCTATTATTATATATGTATCATAACTTCTCCGTAGAGGAAAACAATTATGCAGGTTGACATGCCCATTCTTGCATGTTGTCAGCTCCTATCGCTTTCCTGCTCATATTATACGTAGGCATAAAAAGAAATATTAAGCTTATTTTGTGATGTGGAAAAAATACAGATGATATTTGAATAAGTCTGATTCGGTTCCGGTTCGTATATATAAAAAGTTTGATGTGGTCGGCAAAGTGGCTTGAATGCACGGTCGGGAGTTAAGGTGAACTCAAGTGCATATTCCGTGAGTAACTGAAGACTAAGGTTCAATAGAATTTCTGATGTGATCCCTCCAATACTCAAACTAGTAGTTAACAAGGGTGGAGTAATTTTAGTGAATAGCTATTGACCTAAATTTTCGGGGTGAGTTGGGTTGATCGATACCGATATATATTTTTTATTATTTTAATATTAAAAGAAGGGTATTATATTGTAAAAACATCATCTTGCCAACCTGCTCAATAGATGTTTTAGCAAGAGAATTCTCTATCCTCGACTCGAAGCATAACTAACATGGTCGAAGGCACTCTTTACGATAACAAACATAATTGAAACAATCCAAAGTGTTCTCTTCGATAATAATACATTCTTCATGAACATAAATATTTACGATAAGTCGAATTAATCTAGATGTCATCTATATTTTCACATCTCTCTCTTGACGAAAAGTCGGTGAAAGTCATGAACATGGAGGAGGACACATAACTCTCGCTCCTGTCGTCAGCAACTGCACCATTAGATATTTATCGATTGCATTCTCTAATTAATTGGGTGGTGGGACATACAACCAATAAAGGCTAGCATAGATTATACCTAATTAGCGATGCTAACCTTCCAAATTAATGATACGTTCACAGCCAAAACAAGTGGTTTGGAGTTAATTAGCTATTAATTACACCTTGCTGGGACCCAAATGAGCTAATCATCCAACAAAAGCATTAACCCTCACAGCTCAAGTAAAATACATCTCTCATCCAAATACCTCCCCAAATTTGCAGTATTGCCACGCTCGAAGACGAGGAGGTCAAACACAGCGACCGCCACCAATGATGGCGTGACACTGTTTGCGTGGGTCCCGCTTGGCCCTGCGCCGTGTATTATTGGCCACACATCACCTGATACGTCTTGCCACCATGCCATCAACGAGTAACACGTGGCACGATACGTCATTCCGGAAATGCCCTCCGTTCTTCTCGCCTTTTCTCCACCCTCACGGGGTCAGAACGGTAATTAACCGTCGGTAGATCCGGTCACCTTCACGGGCGAAACACGTTACGGGATTTGGAGTAATGCAAATGGTTTTCACAGAAGTGGCATCACTCGCGGTAGCTATAAGAGGGGCGAGACATAGAGGAAGAGGACCGATTCCAACAGGCGGCGACGTTACCAGGTGAGAAGCTCTCACAAGGCAGCCATGGCTTCCTGCAGCCTTTTCCAGCGTAACCAAATCCGAACTTTGCCAAAGCTTTAACCTTTTTCTTCAAGCGTTTTGGTTGCAGTTCCTTGGTTTTTCCTTCATCCAAAAGCTCCAACTTTGCCTCGGAAAAAAGTTCCCTATAAAAGAAGGGGAGTCGGGTTTGTGTAGCTCGATCTCGATCAGATTGTGAGCCGAGGACCGATGCGGCAGATCTCGTCCTTGTTCAATGGGCTCGCGAAGTCGCTGTATGCAGGGAAGAGGAAGGTCACGGGGGCGGAGGAAGGCAGGGAGGCGGCGGATGAGCTGAGAAGCGAGGCCAAGAAGAACGACATGATACTGCGGTCGTCCGGCTCCATCAGGAGCGCCGGGTCGAAGAGCTTGGTGTCGGTGTTCTCGCAGAGAGGGGAAAAGGGGGTGAATCAGGACTGCTCCATCGTTTGGGAGGTAAGCCGTTCCTTGGATCGCGTTGCATGGGTATCCGTGCCCTCTCGGTCTAGTTTCTTGCTTGTAGCTGTTGCCAGTGGTTGTCTATCTTCTACTTCTCCATCCCTGCTTTATCCATCGTTCTCTTTAAGACAAGCAATGGATTGGCTAACAGGAATTTGGATGCCAAGAAGACATGATGTTTTGTGGAGTGTTCGACGGTCACGGACCATGGGGGCACTATGTGGCAAAGAAGGTCTTGAAGTCGCTCCCTTCGTCTCTGCTCTGCAACTGGCAGGAATCGCTTGCTCTGGCTTCTCTGGTGGCTGATAAAAAGCTTTGCAATTTCGATCTGTGGAAGCAAGCGTATCTTAGAGCCTGCGGCGTCGTCGATAAGGAGCTCGAGCACGATCGAAGTCTGGATTCCTTCCACAGTGGCACCACTGCTCTCACCATCGTCAAACAGGTAATCACCAATTACTCTGAGTTCTGTCACTCGAAAGAAGCCACCTCCGTCTGTTTCCTTTTCTTGAGTTGGTCACTTGTGAGGCATCTGATGCTGATTGCCAGAGGATCGACGCCGATACACCATTTCTCGATGGATCGGAATCTGAGTGGAGATTTTTTCCAGGCATTGTTCGTTTGATTTTAGCTGTCCCATGTTTGCTATATTTTGTGATGACTACTGTGACTTCACCTCTTTACTGATGACAGCATGAGCTGCACATCAACCATTTCCTTTTCCAGATATACTAATGAGCCTGCAGCTATCTTTCTCGTCACTGCATGAAGCTTCTGTCTGTTGATTTCTTCTCAGGGTGAACTCATGGTGATAGCAAACGTTGGTGATTCGCGTGCTGTGTTGGCGACAGCCTCGGACGACGGAAGCTTGGTTCCCATCCAGCTTACGATCGATTTCAAGCCTAACTTACCTCGTAAGTTGGAGAAAGATTACGTAACATGAGATCTGAACTCTGAACATAATGTTCTCTGTAGGGTGTTAATGTCGACTCTGTTGATCTCAGAGGAAGCCGAGCGCATAACCGAGAGCAAAGGCCGTGTGTTGTGTCTGCGAGATGAACCCGGCGTGCACAGGGTGTGGCTGCCGGACGAGGATGCGCCAGGATTGGCGATGTCAAGAGCATTTGGAGATTACTGCATCAAAGATTATGGCCTTATTTCTGTGCCTGAGGTGACTCAAAGGAGCATCACCAGCAGAGATCAATTCGTGGTGCTCGCCACTGACGGGGTAAGTGCCATCGGCTCTATTGGATCATCAAGTCATTGATTTTGGCATTCGAGTGCCCTTAAATCTCTAGAACTAAGCAATTTACATGTTTTGTTGTGACATTAACTTGCACCGAATGGATTAGGTTTGGGATGTCATCTCCAACCAAGAAGCTGTGGACATCGTGTCATCGACCAAGGACAGGCGAAAGGCAGCCAAAAGGCTAGTGGAGCGTGCCGTTTGTGCATGGAAACGTAAGAGGAGAGGGATTGCAGCCGATGACTGCTCTGCCATATGCATGTTTCTACAGTCCACATTGTAGTCGGCAATCCACCAGCCGAGCAAAGCACGAGGAGATCAATAATCCATGCGTCGACTTGTGTTTCCTTGGTTCACATGTTGGCTCTCTTTTCTTCTCGGAAAACATGCTTCGATGACTTCCATTTCTCCTGTCCTTTTTACCTAATGAAATCTCGAGTGCTGCCATCTGCAATCTGTAGCAGGAATCTAATCGTCCGGGGTATGATGACAAGGTACTTGAGCTGTCAGCATACATGACGAATTTGATTCCTCCGTGTTAAAACCTCAAGTTTCATGTATGATTTTTTTTTGGAGGAAGGAGATACACCATATTCATCATAGAATTTAACTTGCGTTGGTTGGTCTCTAAACAACTTTACCGAGCGAGGAACAGCTCCTTATAAAGCATTTAAGTATCTCCGCACGCAGCCTTCTCAATGCTAACTCGAGCTTTCCGCAATGGAAAATACACGAGAATAGAGAGCTCCGTCGTTCTACACCATTTATTTATGTGTCATTTTCCAAAGCTTTTCCAATTGAAAGAAATTTTAGCTTCAGCTGTTGGCTAAAATGTCTGGTGTCATGCGTCGCCAGGCTTGACCAAACTCACCTCTAGTTGTTGTTGGGACCATGTGAGAAATGTCTATGCATAACAGGTGGCTGGCTGTCTGTGTATAGTTGTGACCAAACCATAAGTTCTTCCTTTTTCTCTTTTTGTTTCTGTTTTCTCGAAGGGAATCGAATCACTTCATTACACTGCTAGGAATATGCGGAAACAGTTTCATAAAATTGTCGAGTATTATTTGGATGCAAAGAGCCACGTGACCTACTAAATCTACATGTTAGAGTGGAAAGATGCTGATCGTTTCTTTGTGTATATGACATTTTAAAGCAATCACACTATCCACTCTGCTGTGAGATTGAATCACAGATATACGGTCTCTTATAAGTTAACATTGTGGTATCTACCATCGAAAATTATAAATACATAAACGAAAGGAACGTAGATTTGACCTATCATGACTCCGACCATCAACTTTCACCTGGAGGCAGAATAACCATGGAGGTGTATTGTTCCTAATAAATTGTGTATCGTACCTGATTTAAGTTGGCTAGAAGTCATCCACTGCGTTCTGTCGAGTGCTTGAGCATGCCCGGGTTAACGGAGGATTGGCATGGGGTCCTTCTAACAAGCTGCTTGCGATTGTCCCATAAGCTGCCTCGGTTAGGTGAATGCCATCCCAGGAGACAGAACTAGATGGGTCACTGCATACCTTTGCATTTCTATGACCACAAGGAGCATTTCGATTGACACTATATGGGCCGTCACTTCCACAACAAGCGTGCAGAGGAGCCTTAAATCCTGCAGCCACACAAATTTCGCAGAGTTTCCATCAAACAAATGATTCTGACATAAGAAAACACAAGTAAAGCGATCAACCTGAAAATTATTCTTTGAAGTGGATTTCTTTTCCTAGTTTAACATATAATTGATAAAGAATACAAGATCATACTCTATTTCCAAAACATCCATATTAATTGTCATCCAGGGGTAGGAACTTTGTCCGAGTCCTCTTGGTTCAGCTACCTGAACCATCCCCAAATTTTGACCTGTTGGCAGATCAAAAGGTTCATGTATGGAATAGCTCAAGCTAATCAAACTTTGATTTTATTCCCCTAAAAAGATAAGGTATGTCAGATATTGGTGCTATCAGCACTACCCAGTCAATAATCCAGCCCACTAGCTTCATGGGATCATCATTAGGTCAACCAATTCTGATCAGCTCTAGCAGTTTGGTCGTGTTTCGTGTAAGCTCCACATGCCCTTACCACCTTTTATCAGTATAGGGAACAATTTCTAAAGTAGAAAGAACCAGAATTCAAAGATGTAATCAACAGAAGGAATATGAAATTTGAAGAACCAGTTGATTGCTTCAGTTGATCTCATGGTATAAATGAAAAATAACTTCCTAAATCATTCAAGTTGTTCAGCTCATCTCCATTTACAGATTTAGGCTCCCCATGTCGACATTTCCTTACTACAATAAAATATTATCGAAGGTGTTAAATAAATTGGATATTATCAAGACAAAGGTAACCCTGGTTAACTAATCATTTTCTTCTAATTTAAACAGTTGGAAATATATGGTTTTTTTTTCTTATGAAGGTGAGAAATCAAATCTAATTCAAATATTCTTAATTTTCCTAATAAAACTATAACAAGATGCAACTCAAATTAGAACCACTCAAACTTCAAATACTACATAATCATTTCAGATTACTACTCCAAAATAAAAGAATGTTCCAAGAGGAGAGGCTGATGATGATCCACTGCACAAAGATATTTCAGAATAAGAAAAACAAAAAGGTGGTTATTCATGACTGAAATTGCAAAAACAAATAATACTAAAAAAACATATTATAGTGTCCAGGAATGGTTATCAGAAATATTCAACTCTGTGATGGAGGATTACTCATGAAAATGTCACTTGAAATATCTAACATAACAAAGTTCTTTGTTCTTCAATGCATGAAGCAGAAAAAATCATATATTCACAAATGAAAAAATCTAAAACAAGCAACAAAGTTTCAAGACTCCAACATGATGTGCCAGATCCTGACTCAAGAAGTAGACACTTGCAAAGAATCTTAGTTTTCACAAAGGAAATGGTTAGTAAAGCCAAACAGGTAGTTTTAAGCTTGATTGCATACTTTTGGAAGCATATTATTTTAAGAACAATAATTCTGAAGAGTGAAAACTTGATCAAAGATAAGGCATACTTCGAGTCTTTTGGAAGTCATAACTGCACTAAAACATTACCCATCCATATTCTAGGGATGTTTTAAGTTTTGATGGCTGTCAATGATACCTCAAACTCCAGAAGTCATATTTAGCTTTAGTAAAGAATCCAACTTGTAATGTAGCTTAAACCTAATCGAGTTGGTGAAGAAGCGCTTTATAAAAAGTATAATGGTTGTCGAAGAAACCTCAAACCCAACAATTTTTTACTTATCATTAGCAAACACTCCTCTTTCTAATGCAGTTTTGCACCAAAATCAAGTTGGTGTATAAGCACTCTATGAAATATGATTAGCAATATTTTCTCTAAAAAGAATTATTAGTAAACTTTGGAAGGGAAAAGATACAAACCAAAGACTTCTGGAGCACGAAAAAAGCTTATCATGGCATCATAGTAATTAGCATATATGATCATGACATTTGGGTGAAGCTTCCGAAGCCGATCCAACTCAGCCAGGAGCAAGCGATTATGATACTTGGATAGCTCATTCAACCACTTGATGCAGCCTGTGTCTGATTCATATTCTTCAACATTATAGCTCTTATAGATATCTAGATAAACTGGAACACATCCAATTGGAAAGTTCCCTGGAACCAACAATGTCTTTGCCCCAAGCTCAATTAAATCCTAACCAAAACAGGAAAAATGAGAGTTCAATGAAGCAATCCTTGAGCAAATGCACCAAATTATGCCCAAAAGACATGATGTATGGTAAATTTACTAATACATCAACAGCAGAAAACTCACATTGATTCCTGAACTAATTGCGCTGATGACACTAGGAACGAAGGGTCTTATTTCATCCAATTTTATTCCTTGGAAGAAGGGTTGGTTGTAGTCATTCCCGCCAATCTCTCCCATCAAGATCAATGAACTGTTCAAGACGTCCTTGGGATCTGGCATTACATACAGGACATTGAAAATCAACAATTCCGGCATACAACTCTTGACCAACTGAAATTTCATCAGCACAAACATGATCTTTAATGAACAATTGTGCAATAAAATAATACTCCATGGCAATTTGAATTCCTGCAATAATTTAGCCTGATCATCCATTTCCAAGGCACATAGCAAACTCTAATTTGCTTCCACATGCTTGATCGATTACTGTTGATCATAATCTCATTAACAGTATTGATTTTTTCTAACAGAATCAGACATCATTAATATTATCTTGAGAAACACTACTGCAGAAACAGAACCCTATCCATGGTTCATATGCTACCAAAACCAAGACAAAATCAGAAGAGGAAAGAGAAAAGAAAAGAAAGGAAGTAAGGCATACATACCCCGACCAGCAGCGATCGAAGGCAGCAATTGCTTGAACAATTGGATCTGTACATGCAAGGATTTATCGGTCCACGTAGGTTGAATCCCCTTTTCGCGAAAGAATGAGAGATCGAGCGCCGTGGCTCCGGCAACCGCAAAATTAACCCCCTGCCGGAAATCCTCGCTGCTCCCTCCTCCAAGATACGGCCGCAACAGAGGCAATCCCAATCCTTGGGCTGCACCAATCGAGTCATTCAGACGCTTACACAGACGTCCTTCACCGGACAAACGAGAGATAAGGCAGTAGAAACGGACCGATGAAGTCGACGATAAGGCGACCGTCGGAGAAGCGGCCGGTGGGGCGATTGAAGAAGGTGCGGCCGTAAGGGGGTGTGCCGGTGGGGCCTCCCAGACCGCCGAGGCGGATGGCGTTGCCAGTGTCGGCGAGGGAGTCGCCGAAGCTAAAGATGGCGGAGTAGCAGCCGCCGGAGGCGCGGCGGGCACCGAGGAGAAGGGAGAGAGCGAGAAGGAGAGGGAGAAGGCGAGGAGGAGACGCAACGGAAGCCATGGATGGGAATGGTTCCAACTGGCGACGGAAGAGCGTTGACAAGTAGCGGCGAAAGAGGGAAGCAGCGAAATGTATAATAGAGAAACAGAGGAGCGTCAGCCTCTTCGTCTTAATAATTGGTCTGCTTGGTAGCTCCACACACACACACACATATATATATATATATATATATATATACAAATTTATTTTTATTATTAATAAATCTACAAGAATTTTGAATATTTCTAAGTTATTCTTTTTAGTAGACATATATATGTCCCCAATTGATAATTTAATCTTAATCGAATATTTTCACTTTTTACCTATAATTTTATTTTATTTTCTTCTTTTTCCTCTCATCATCTCCTCTTAATCACTAGAGATGATGTAAAATGATGAAAACAAGATAAATAATGAAATGAGATGAATTAAAGATGGAAGAGTAAGATGTGAAAAATAATTTTTTTCGTTTATTATAGTAATTTAATGTCTTTAGGATTATATATAGTTTGTAATAACACAAAAGACACCATTTTATTAGAGGGGTAAAAATAGAATTAGAGGGTTGTGAATAGTAAAATATTATGCTATTAATTTTTTAGGAAGTTATGAATAGCAAAGTGTTGTGAATAGTAAAAATAAGAATCTAAACAGTAAGCTCCTTCATCATTTGTCATGTACACAATCTCGTAAATGGCTCTTGTCCTTTCTTACTTCTTGCTTTCATTTGGTGCTGCTCCCAAGATAACATCGGATACCTATATACTTTTATCATTGCTCTCGTCTCTTGCTCTCAAGGTTACAATGACCTTGGAAGTTAGAGACGAAATGTGATGTTCTAAGAAAGGGTAGGGAAGGGTAAATGACGCGAAGGTGGCATGGCTTCGTAACAAGAGAGGTGACGAGACAAAAGTGACGAGCGATAAAGGACGAGGGATATTTACAAGATTATAAAATATAGGGGCACTATCTTGGGAAAAAAAAAAAACATAGACACCTTGTGGGAAAAAAACCAAGATGAGTTTTTTTTTATGAAAATAATATTTTTTTAATAATTTAATAAATTCCTTTTAGTTAAATTATAGTGGCAAATATCTTTAAAAAAAATATTGGAATCAAGTTTCCAACCTTAATCTAAAAAAAAAAAAAAACTTGCATTATTTTTATTTACTGCATGCCTAAGAAAAGAAATAAAAATAATGGAATATTAACGTTTGGCCAACCTGAGACCCATTCCTTTATGACAGATAACCTAATCTTGAATCTGTCTTAAGTAGGAGCCGATTCAAAAAGTGTGGCAACTGAGTCTCACATTTCTCTTATCTTACCTAATCTGTTCCCCAAATGTCTTCGACACAAACAGGATTTTATGCAACCTATAAGTGTTGCATAATTTATTCGAATGTGAAGCCAACAATATGTGTTGCTCACTTATTGTTTACGTACTGGCACGTGCTGTTCTTTCCATACACTGAAACTGCAATTCTTTTAATATGTGGCGGGCGACGATCCCGTGAGCTGCGTCTGTGAGGTGCAATCCATCCCAGCTAACATAGCTTGAGGGATCACTGCACAAGTTTGACATTGGATGACCGCATCCTACGGAAACGTTGAAGTTGTATGGCCCCTCACCTCCGCAGCACGCAGCCAGAGGTTCCTTCATCCCTGCGCTTATGTGCGATGTGATTACCGAATGATGAGCCAAACAACGTTCTTGGAGGAATAGGACTGTGGATATATCTCACCAAATTGTTCCGGAGATTGGTAGACGGGCATCAGAGCCGTATAGTAATCAACATAGAAGATTTTGGAATGCGGATGTTGTTTTCGGATTCGATTCAGCTCCTTGAGCAACCGGAGACTGTGGTAGTGTGAGAGCTCATTCGCCCACTTGAGGCACCCTGTTCTTGGATCATACTCCGCCGCGCTTTGGGTTTGGAAGACCGTGAGGTATACTGCGCTACATCCCAGTGGGATAATCCCAGCCACCATCACTGTTTCCACCCCTTTACGGATCAAACTCTATCAACCAAAGAAGAAGGCTCAGATATCGAAAGATCATCTGAAACAAAAGGCAGCGAGATCATTAGCTCACGTTGACTGTTGAACCGATCGCTTGCACAACCGTGGGGACGTAGCTTCGTATGCGATCTTTAACCGCCTTCTCGTGCAACAGGTGATTGTAGTCATTCACCCCCATCTCGCCCATTAGGAACAACGACTTGCTTATGGTGTCTTGTGATGCTGCACATAATACATGACAGATGTTATCGTACGAGATGAGATGTCAATCTAACCCAAGAAGACAAGCTTACAGTGGAGCGAAGAGGTGGATCGCTGTAACAGCTGCTCGAACCACTTAAATTGAGTGCTCAAAGAGTAATCCTGCCACGTCACGTTAAGCCCCTCGGCCTCAAAGAAGGCGTTGCCAAGCGCACAGGCCCCTGCGACCGCAAAGTTCGCTCCGTGTTTGAAGTCCTCGCTGCTGTTCCCTGCAAGATACGGCGGCACCAGCGGCAGCCGCAGGGCTTGTGCTGCGACAAGTACGCAAACACGTTAGCCTATGCATGAGGGATGTGAAAAAAAGGCGAGTTTCGTATACCGATGAAGTCGATGACGAGTCTCCCGTCGGAGAAGCGGCCGCTGGGATGACCAAAGTACGTCTCACCGTACGGGAGTCCGCTAGCCGCTTCCGTACCACCGGAGAAGAAGACCAAGTTTCCGGTGTCGGTGAGAGAGTTGCCGAATCCGAAGATGGCGGGGTAACTGCTGCTGCGAGCAGCAGGGAGGACCAGCAGGTGGAGGAAGAAACAAAGGGGGACGAAGGACGCCATCTCCGAGCTGTGGATCGAGGGAGTAGCTTGTGCAGGGGAAAGATGCGGTGCGTGGACGTGGTTAAGACCATCTCTCGTCTCTTCCATTCTCGGACGCGGTGTATGCAGCATAATTTCGTGCTCTGACAGGGACATGTGGCCGATCCTTTTCTTTCGACTAATAAATGGCTATGAGAGAAATGGGGTTTCCCGATGCGACACCGGCCAAAGGTGAGGCCAAGTCGCTGGCGTGCTCTGACTTTTCGTAGCAATAATTGTCTTTTTAATTCACCTTTATAATCGAGGCTAATTGTTTAGTGAGGCAGAAGCTCAACATTTTTATGATCATCATGATAAAAAATGATAGATGTGGTTGATTTGTGGAAGAAATGGATTTGTCTTTATTAAAACACGCCACGATTGGTCAACCGATCAACTCATCGCTTACTAGAAATAATCGTTTGGTAATACAGGCTGTTGATTCTCAACATTCTTAGATGCTCTAAACCACCTTTGATTGCCTTTAATTTGAAAGTGATCGACCTTTCATGTGAATGTAGTTACTCGTAGAAATTTCATATTTTTAGCACAATCAATATGCCATTTGTTCACTAAATATATCGAAATAAAGTTTGTGTTAGAGCACAACTTATTAAAAGATATTTTAAATTGAACTATTAAAGGTAAAGTTTAAAAAAATATATTAATCTTTTACTTTATTCTCATATAGTATCATTTATTTTTTTAAAGATAAAATTATCTTTGGCTTTCACCTTGTTGGTCGTTGCCTCCGTCCCTTATCATATCACCTGTTACCCATCATCTCCCCTCCCTATTTCCTTTGTTGCTCTCGTTGGTCATCACCTGTGCCTTGCGACCCAAGCTCTTATCGCTCATCTACTCGAAATGAGAGATGAGGATAACTTTTGACTTCTAATGATAGTGTCAAATGAAGGTGTCGAGACAGTACTCTCCTCCATAATGGAGAGCTTCGGACATGGAGAGCGAGATGCCTCGTTAATGACCACCTCCAGAGGAGAAGAAAGATCGATGGATGTAGCGTGACACAAGGGATAATTAGAACTTAATAATCACCATGGGAGTAGACAACAGAGATGAGAGCAAAGATGCAGGGATGAAACAGAGTGGATGACAACGACAAGGGTGAGAGCAAGTGTCACGACCCCTCGAATCGATAATATTAAAAAAATTTCATAAACCAATCGAGGATCCAAACTAACATTTGAGGACATTGAGAAACATTCAATCAAATTCATATCCATAAAACCTGTGCAGTTTATAATTACATATCACATCATTCGATAATTCACATTGGAAACCCAAGCCAACTTAACAAAATATTAACAACATTTATAAATCCATAAGCTAAATAATTTATATAATCAGAACTCTAACCATTTACTATAAGTTTATGTCATCGTAAACTAAACATTCTGAAATTCCAAACAAGAGAGGTCTTTTAACATGTTTACACGATATATCAATTTCAAATATGTCGATAATAATTCATTATATACAAAATATACTTATACAATAACCACATAATAACCAATAAGACTTGCCCAAAATCTGAATAGCTCTCTACTGCCTTAGTTCAATTCAAACATCTCAGTGAGTGATAAGTTAACCTGAAAGATTCATATAACAACGGAGTGAGCTACAAAGCTCAGCAAGTGGCAAAACATATTTAGAACAAAAAGGGATAGTTTCAAACAAATAAGGTATCATAATGCAAGGCAGAATACAAGAGATTCAAGGGTACCATCTCATTAGATACATAATCGTAAATGTCATTTCATTCAAAACATATTTGGTTTATAACAAATTGAATAGAGAGTAATTGAAGCATAGCAATAGCGTATGAAATGTTTTAGAGTATATCAATGGCATATGGAATATTTCAGAGCATATCAATGGCAAATGAAATATTTCGGTATAAAATATTTCGGAGTATATTAATAATGAATGAAACATTTTGGAGCTTATAAATGACGTATGAAATATTTCGGAGCATATCAATTTACAAATGAAAATTTTCAGAACATATTAATGGTATATAAATTATTTCAAAGTGTATCAATGGCATATGAATATTTCAGAGGCATAGGAAGCATTTTGGAACATATCAATAGCATGTGAAATATTTCACAATATATCAACGACATATGAAGCATTTTGGAGCATATCAAAGAATAAATACGAAATAGAAGTTCAAATGTCATATTTGACGTTGCATTCATATCATTTTATCCAAAGCACATATAGAAACACATAACCAAAGCTGTAGATATTATA